CCAGTTTTAAACACCACACACCCTTCGAACCAATTGTCGGCTTAAAATCACGTTTCTTAAATGATCCCAGAAGGATAATTTCCTTTACGACTTTCAGCTAACGACCTGAAGCGTATTGGCTAATAATAGGACTTACTTACTTTACTGGCTTATTAGCTGCTCAATTGAGATGTTTTTTGTTCTTGAGCGACCTTTGGCAGGCCTCTGTGTTTTAAGCCATGGCCGTCATCGTTAACTGGTATCGACAGCCTCGCGCACGCACCCAGCATGGCGCGCGTCTCATCGCTGTCATCTTAAAGCCTGCGCTGGCCTCTTTGGTTTTGTTGCTCCGGAGCTCAGCCGTCTCGACGCGATGATTTGCTCTCAACGACAAAGCAGCTGCAGCAGTGAGCCGAGAGCCCATCTTGTCCGTTTTGACTGTTTGCCGGGGGGCCTATTCAGGTCGGGGGTCCCTGAGGTCGTCCCAGGTGGCCCAGCTATTCACAAGGTAGCCTCTAACCGTAGATCCAGCGGCTCGGGGCACTCAAGGCCTCACAATGGTGAGAGGATTTACAACTGCCTGCCAGGGGGGGGGACAGTGTCTGTCCCCCCTGGATACTGTCACCGTGTTGTAATTTGTCCCTTTCCCTTCCTGACTAATGAGGTGGAGACTTCTCTGTAGACCTGGACCAGGACCATTGTCGTTGGTTCATCAATAATGCAGAGAAAGGCCGGTATGGATAATAGAAGAAGACCCCTCCTTTCACACGTCCACCCCACAGAGGACTCCTTGAGACCGTTGGTTAATGACCGAACTCATTAGCGGCTCATTAGCGGCCCTCGCCGGTAGAGAATTGATGTGCACAGATGCTCCGCCGTGACATGAAGAGCGTTGGTTAACGTTTGAACGTTTCGGCCCCCTCGTTGAGGATCGTTGGTCCGTGCCGTCCCGGCGAGTGGAGCCAGATGTTGGTGTAAACAAAGCGACAGAGAACAGAGATGGTCGGTTTGGTTCCTTGGCGTCAGCAGATGCCTCTTATCTGTCCAAGGATTTATTTGACAGGTAAGCGTGCTGCATCATTTCCGTGTAGCTTCAAAGGTGGTCCATGTGAATTTATTAACCTCTTATCTCGGGCTTACCTCGCTGAATACATAATTCATGAGGGAACTTCCTTTAACCTTCACATCTGGGATCAGAAGGTTAAAGGACAGATGTTTTTCCTTTGGATACGCCCAGCGAGCTCAGATGAAGTTGCTCTTCTTCGGGGTAAACAACCCGCTTCCTGGATTTCTTGGTGTGTTTAGTTCTTTCTGGGGAGTGCAAATATTTGTGCGGGGCAATAAAATCGTTTGCCCGACGTAAACGCTACGCGGCTCTGTGCTTCCAACAGGTCGAGTGAAAGTAGCCCGAACAGCGCTGTTGATTAAAAGGAAAATCTGGACGTGACAGCTCTCCGTCAGGGCCGGCGAGCATCTCGATGTAGCACGACACGAAACATCTGGTCCCTCTTTAGCTGCATGGGGGCGCCCGGCTGAGCCTCCCCCTGCAGAGCCGGGCCATCCGCTTCACAGGGAGGACACGGGGGAGGCAGGGGAGGAAGATAGACGGCAGACAGACAGACAGGGAGGAGTTGTATTTTTTATTGAAGAACAGGGTTGAAGAGGTTTGAGGTGATAATCGGTTAATGTTTGGGTCCCGTTCTTTGGGTTTCGTTTACGCTGAACACGCGTCCTGTGAATCAACGGTTGAAAGAGATTTCCCTCCTTTTCTTGTGTGTTCATCCAACAATCCGCTTGTTAATGTTGTAAAAAGCAAACGCACGAGTCGTTTAGTCAGAGACTGACCCGACGCTCACGTCAAGCTGTGCTGCACACACTTAGTTTCATTGGCCCAGAGTGCTTTAACTGCACCTTAAACCTTCTCCGTGTATTCTGGGGTAGGGTCGGGGGGGCTGTGAGCGTCTGAGACTCTTTGACAAGCTGGCCGGCGGAGGCAGAAATTTGGCTGACTCATCACTGTTGCATCATTGGTTTGGTTCAAGGTCCACGTCAGTTTTGTGTTGTTTAAAAAGCTGGTTAAAAATTCGACACGGAATGTTTTCCTTTGTCTTTTTAGGCGAGCGAGGCCTTTCTCCTGACATGCCATCACAGGTTGCTTCACTAAAATGGGACTTTGAGCTTCCGAGATGGTTTGTAGTTATTTCAGGGTCCAAAAGAGGCAAAACTCTCCAGCGTTTCTCAAGCAATAAGCAAACACTTCCGTCCTATTTCGTCAATACGAACAGATTCCTCTCGCCACCCCTGGGATTACCGTTCCATACTATGTCAATACATGAAAAGAAAATCTATTCCGATAAATAAAACATCTGGTTTTGGCGAATGCTTTTTGAAGCTCGGATGCACGGTAAACGGAGCAGGAGGAGGCCGATGGAGTAGGGAGGGAAATGAGAGGGCGTGGAGGCCTCGAAGAAGAGCGGGAAGGAGGGCAGGAGAGTTCAACGGCAATGAAAGACACGAGGCTCGGTGGCATTAGCGAAGAGAAGGGGGCGGGATCCCTCACCACACAGATGAAAAGGGTTTAGAGGTTAATGACAACCTACAGTCCGGAGCGCAGGAGGTCAGGCGGGAGAAAGATTTGCGCAACCTTTGAGATCACAGGAGAAGGTGCAGGGTACTAATCCGGCTCGTTTACGGTCAACGGAGATAATGCAGGCTGTTGTTCTCCATGCAATTCCCGTTTGAGTCACTGGTTCACTGTGTGTGTGTGTGTGTGTGTGCATGTGGTCAAACAGGTTGTCACTTATCCTCTCACTGATTGTTGGAACATCTCATCGATTTCTGGTCAGAAGACAAGTCCGTCCCCGTCGCAATCCAGAACCATTTCTGTTTGTCCCGAACAGCTGACTGGGATTTAGTCACGTGACCTCGGCGAGAGACAACCTCTGAGAGCGGGCGGTCCCCTTCGAGCTGGAAACGTCCGATTCAACGAATGCACACCGCTGCTACGGAGCCAAGGAGAAACTAAATATTGTTCACATCGTCTATGAGCGTTGGGTCAAGAGGGATTAACGGTTGCTGAATTCATATCATTTTTTAATTCTTTGCCCCAACACCCCCCCCCCTCAATGAAAAGCTGCCATCAGGTTTACCGGCTGTGTTTAGGCCCCTATGGCGATAATCCCCCGATATCGCTTCAATGGCATTAACCTGCATGTTATCCATTTTGAACACAGATGGGAAACAGATTATTCCCGGGAAGGAAGGTGTCCGATAAATATCCAAACCCCAGCACGACCTCCACTCCCACTTCCGCATCATTTTCCACCCTTTTTCTACGCGTGTCGTGCCCTTTATTTTCCTCCCGCACCTGTTACCAGACGTTCTTCTCGGAATTCTGCCCCAAACAATTGGCCGACTTCCCCCGCGCAGACGGCCATCTGGGGGGAAAAGAAAAACACAACCGCTTGGCCGTCGCTCCCTCCCCCTCTGTGAGTTTATAGTGCGCTTCCATTGCTTCTGTGTGAGACGACTGAACCAGGTAGAGTTACGCGAGCGGGAAACCGTCTAACGTAGCAGGAGAGGTTCCACTGTAGAGGAGGTGGATAAAAGCAATGACAGAGAACTGTCAAACATTCTTTTGAATATATATAAGAAATAAATAATATAATTAACTGGCTGGTAATTTGCTGATTTATTGTTATTTGGGTTTGCTAACTTTGGCTTCAGCTTCTTAGCTCGTGACCTTCGCTTGCATGTGATTCTGTCCGACTGTTGTTTTTGCCATCTCTTTATTGTCTTTATCTTTATTAACACAAGACGGAAAACCGAGGGTTCATTGTTTGCTCGTGTCTGCCACTATCAGCGTCTCAAAACATAAGACGTGGATGCTTTTCCTGCCAGGAAGAAGAAGAAGATTACTCATTGTTTTAGCGTGAAGGAACAGCTAAAATAGCATTTGATAAAACTACCCGACCGAACAATGAGCACGACTCCCTCCCGCCGTCCAGCACAGAGAGCATTTATGGACTCTCAGCACATTCGGAAGGGAGGTCACTGGAAAACAGGCGCCGCTTGTATCTGGAGATATCTGCACACAACAGCTGAACGACGTTTAAAGTTCTTTATCTTCTTGTTTTGCGGACGACAACCGTCTTTTTTTGTCGATGGCGGCCCTCTGTCATTTACAGGGAAGCCTCTTATTGCCTCGTGCTGACACACACACACACACACACACGCACACACAGCGAATAAACCCAGGTGCAAAAGTAGAACAGATACACAAATATCCCCATGACCACATGCACACACATGCACAAATACGTAGACACATGATAAGTGTGCCCGGTAGTTTTCATGCTATAAATACTCCTCGGGTCGAGGCTTTCCCGTTTTAGACTCCTAAACCTTCACACAGCACAAAAACCTTAAAGATGTCAGATGTCTCTCCTAATAGAACACATCGTCAACGCCAAATAGGCGGTTTTCACAGAGTCGCGCCTTGAATATGTTGGGCTTAGTGTCACTTTTACAGTGGCCCGTTAATCTGTTTAACTGTGACTGTGGAACCGATCTGGCTTCAGATGTGCTTCTGTTTCATTAAAGCTGTTTGAATGAGAACAACTTTGAAGCCGTCGTTAACACGAACCCACGCGGCCCGGTGGGTTCGCATTGACAACAGACATTTCATCATCCATCAGACCGTCACACATTTTAAGAAATTGTTAGATATCATTCTAAAGTGCTCAGCTGCAACATGTTAATGTCCCCTGTAGCTGCACCCTTTGCGTGTGCGTTTATTGACTGAGATAGAGTCAACTTCTAACAGCAGCGTGCTCATAGTATTCAATAACATGAGGTGAGCTCAGACGTCGGCTCCGGACCCTCCCGGCTTTAAAAAAGGCGGAGTCTTAGCTGAGCTTCAGTGAGCGGCGTCCTTCCTGCCATCTGGTTTCTGTGTCTTTGCCCTGGAGAGTAAAACGTCCCACTAAAACCACCTCTTCTCCTCTCTGTGTGTCTCCCAGGAGCCCCCGCGGGTGAGCCGAGGACAGCGACTGGATCTGCATCTGCCCCATCTGTCCGTCAACCGGGCCGAGTGCCCCTCAGGGTCACCTCGAACCGCGACGGGCGCCAAACAATCAAAGCCTTGACCCGGCGTCCCTCAGGCTACCTGCACAAAGCAAATACTTGAGGCCGTTATATCTCATTTTCCCCGGGCTGCCGTCACCGAAACAGTGAAGGGTGTCGTTGGGAAAGAGAAGGAGAAAAGAAGAAAAAGCGTGTGTGTGGGGGGGGGTGGGAAGAAGAGGGGGGGGTAACTTTTTTCAAAGTGCACCCTTGCCTGCTATTTCTGCTGCGCTGTGGGCAGGGAGCGTCCCTCCAAGGCTGACAAGAAAAGGACTTCCCTGTGCCCTGCCCGCCTTTCCACATGGCTGTGTAAATACTGGATAGAGATATCAATTCGCCCCGAGCTCAGCAAACACACTGTGAGCTAAAAAGGTACAGCAGACTTCACCTCGCCTCCCGTCCAATTCTTCTCACAGCAGATTTGAGAGCTTCCACCCTTGAAAACCTTCCGCAAACTGCCAACAACTGCTTCGCGGGCGGCGCCAGAGCGCTGTGGGTCTTTTCGAGGGGCTGCGCTTTTGATGTCGTTGCCAGCTCAATAAATCGACATGAAGCCCCTGACGCCAGTGGGGTCCCCCTCTCCTCTGAGGCTCCTCAACAAGGGTCCGGACTACCTGCGCAGACAGATGGACGGCGGCGGCCACGGCCGCTCGGTCAGCGCCGTGGAGAGGCTCGAGGCGGACAAGGCCAAGTACGTCAAGAGCCAGCAGGTGATCAACGCCAAACAGGAGCCGGCGCTGGTGCCGTGCGCCACCCCTCCGCCGCAGCCCCGGCGGGCCGCGTCCATCCCCGGGAGCCCGGCGCCTGGCCTGGCGCCGCGCCGCCCCTCCAACGCCGCCTCCTCCGCGCTCTCCGGCTCGTTCGCCTCGCGGGACGAGAACGAAAACTACGACTCGAGGAAAGAGAACAGACGGACGTCCGTGGACGTCGAGGCGCGCAACAGGAGCAACGCCAACGGCGCCCTGCCGCCCGTCCCCAGGACTCCGGGCGTCGGCTCTTTGGTGGCTCCGCACAGCGCCCCGGTGCTCAGGAGGAGCACGGGCAAGCGCATGTTGAGGCCGGACTCGCTCCTCATCTACCGACAGAAGAAAGAGTGCAAGAGTCCCCACGGCGCCGCGGCGGGAGACAACAGCAACACGGAGGTGAGAGGCTACGGTTTCGTCCGCCGCCTCTTCCAGGGCTCCACGAGGGAGAAGGCGGCCGGAGGTGAGGGCCGAATCCAGAAGATGGTGATCGGGGAGGAGAGAGCGCCGTCGCGGGACGGAGACTCCCGCATGTCTTGGACCAATGAGAGAGACGCCACGGACGGGGGGCCGGGGAGCAGGAGGTCGAGCAAAACCGATGCGGAACGCAGCCCGGGGTCCGTCCCCAGTCCCGGGTTCGGCTGCACGCTGGAGCGGGCCGAGAGCGGATTCACAGACGGCACCGGCACAGACGGGGTCGCCGACGGCAACCGCTCGCGGTTTCGCCGCGACGACGAAAACGACCCGTGGAAGCGGGCCTCCCCCCCGCCGGCGCCCAGGAGGAGTTTCGGGGAGCTGCGGCGGTCCGAGTCGGACCTGCGTCTGCGCTGCTCGGCGGCGTTGTCGGAGCAGGAGCTTTTCTTCGCCTTCTGCGGCCTGGACGTGGACATGGTGGATCGTCTGGGTCGGACGAACTTCCTCTCGGCGGCCAGCTCCCTGGGCACGCTGTCGCTGGCCCTGCGCAGTGTGGACGGGGACGACCGCTCGGAGCCCAGCGAGTTCTCCCAGCACTCGGGGGACGGGCTGTTTCAGGAGGAGCTGGCCGAGCAGCCCCCCACCGGCGTGTCGATCATCGAGAGGAACGCCCGCGTCATCAAGTGGCTGTACGGGTGTAGGAACGCCGCTCGAGAGGGACCCAAAGAGTCGACGGTTTGATCGTGCGCCGAGAGGCCGAGAGCGTAACGTGGGGATATTCCCCCCGATGAAGACCTCTACTCTTTGTGCAGAACTCTTCTGTTGAAGTTCACTGTGGACAAAATGCTAAAGAATTGAATCTTTTATTGAATATTCCTTGAATTTCCAAGCCACCAGCTGTGATTCCCACAATGCATTGCAAATGAGTTGTTTCCTCCCCCCCGCCCATCAATGCAGGTCAACGCAGCGGCACATGATAACTCTTTATATCTTATCTCTGCACGTAGGGTTGTCGCTCCACGACACATGACTTCATCTTAGCGCCCAAACTCCAAAGAGGCCGTGACTTCGATTGGCAGGACAACAGCTTCTATTCAGCTATAGCTCATGTTGTATTTATAGATGTATTGTACAGTTATATAGACCGACCCCACTGATGGAACCAATCGCCCCAATGTTTTATTGTGTGTGTGTGTGTGTGTGTGTGTGGAGTAGACGTTGTTGTCCTCTCAATTTGTTGCTTATGAAACCTACAAGGCACATAGGTGTCGTAACGCTCGTCATGACACGGTGGACACAGTTAGTGGACCAACACTTGACTAAATTAAAATGGAAAACCACTAAGCTACGTTTGTTTTTTTCTGAACTGGAAAGCTGTCGTGTGAGTGTGGAGTGAACCATGAGCACCTCATTCGGATCTGTCCCAGTTTTGTGTTGCCTTTTTTTTTCCTTTTTTTACTCCTTTAACGCAGGCGTTGGAATAAACATTAGGCGCCCCTGTGGGGCTGTTAATGCACTGAACTGGACAGAGGGAGAGGGGGGAGAGAGCGATAGACACGGAGGCCCGGACTCTTCACGGGGGATTCATCTCGCACAACGTTAAAACACTGAGATGGATCGAAGACGAGCGGCCGCGCCCGGCCCGGCCATTTTCATCGATTCTCACAGAGAGGATTTCCAATAATAACCTGTGACACAAGCATCGATTTCCCACGGCAACTGCTTCACGCGTGTTCAGTGCCCCTTGCTGTCCCCACGGAAAGAACGAGCAAAGGGGCAACTTAAAAGTCACCAAACAAGCTTTAAAAATGACACATTTACCTCCGAAGGCGAAAGAGCTAAAGTCGATAAACCGTCTTCCAGGCAGTGAACCATCCCAGCTGACGCAGCCGCTTGTCCGACGGAGACGAGCATTCTTTCCCTGATGACCACAGATCCTACCTCACTTCATGCTTCAGCGATTCTCACTTTATCCCCACGAAAGGATGCCAGGGAAATACGAGCAGGGGTCTGCCGAGGTATGCAGAGATTAGACTGAGAGGTATTCTGGGGGGGACAATTCATGTGTATGTACGTGTGATTAACTACCACAGTTAAAACACTTGCAGCTTTAATGTGATTTATGTTCTGTATTCGTCATCAGCACGGCGCACTCCTGAGATCCCTTCAAGCTGGGTTTTTCTTTTTTTGTGTTATCTTTTATTATTTAAAATCATTTGGTTGCATGTTTACAAAGTGTCTCTGTGAAATCTCTTTTTCTATTTGATATATAAATGAGAGATTTAGTTTTAGTATTCCAAAGAGTTTTGTGTATAGTGTACACAGCAAATTTAAAAAAAAAGGATGAAATAAAAGTCTGCAGGTAATTCCTTTGTTGTCTTTGTTGTGTTTTTGGAAGATGAAAATCTGCACATGAATTAACACAATGCAAAAAAAGTGGTACTGCATAAATTTGACTTAGAAAATGCAGTGAATGCAAAGAAAGAAAGAACTTTTATTGCATCAATACAAATGGCAGAAAGCAAAAGCAGTGAGTGCTGCTCTTTAATCTTCTCGGGGTAATGGTGGGCTGAGTCAGTGTTGTGACGCCCGTCTGGTCCTTGACTCCTCGTGGCCTCCCTCCGCCGCGCCGCGGCTCACTTTTCACATTATCTCAAGTGGCTACGCGCTAATCCTTTTAGCATTCCCCGAACGGTTTGCTCCTAAGTGAGCCGCAACAGGTTGTGTTTGCAGACAAGAAGGCCTCTGTGTGGCCCGATGCTGTGTCTACGCCGCCAGAGAGCCGCTCCCCCCCCCCGTCTGCAGACTCTTCCTCACGCTCTTTGTCTCTTCTTTCCTTCTTTGCTGACTCAGCTTGTTTCTGTCCGCGGCGGTTTCTTTTTGGAGGTTTGTCCCTTTATCTGGAAACCGCCCTTGATTTTATTTTTGCTTGGAAAAATCAACCCTTCTCTCCTTCTCTGTCGGTCCAGTATTGAACTGGAGCTTTTAGGCAATGACCAGGACAAGGAGGACAGCTAAACTCCCCGTCAACCCGTGTCCGCCAATAAATGATTACAGCGGCCGTCAAAAAGCCCACAACTTGTCGTGTCAAATGTCGTGTCCAGATTAATCAAGGAAGTTATCTCCCTTTTTAAAATGCTTAAGAGGCCCAACATGGTTTAAGGGCAGTGAAGGATCCAATGGTCGGACACATTCCCAGGACTCGGTTCTGCAGACACTGAACAAAATTGTGCTCGCTGGTTTGTTTCTTCGGATAACTCCAGGTAGGCCCACTTAAGTCTCCAACAGCAACACTTGGGTGTGACTACCTCCAGAAATACCCACACGTCTGATTCCTCCATCCCGTACCCACGCTTCCCTTTCCACTCTTTCTGTCTTTCCCACAGCAGAATGAAACAATAGCCCTCCTGTGCGCTCGGGTCGGTGCCGGTTACTCCGACCGGAGCTCCTGCTGTGACATCCTGTTGACAATGGTTTCAAAATATGGTCACGATTTAGGGGTTCGGCCTTTCTTCCTCACTCTGACTGGAAATACGACGGATAGAGGACGACTCTGACCGTACTGATGCGGGGAAGCTGTGGTTTGGTGGCTCACCTGTTTTGTGGCGCTTGCAGAACGTGGCTGGTTTGCAGAGCGGGTGACGAGCTGGCGCCGATCCATCGCCGCCCTGAGCTCTGAAAGCCTGCTGACGTGGTTTTCCCACTCACATGGAACCGTCACCACAGGGGGTCTAAAGAGCTCCTGCTTCACACTTTTTACCAGTAGCAAAGTTCAGAGCGAATTATCACACACCGGTTTGGAGTTTTAACAGTAGTAATCGCCAAATGTTCAGAGTTAAACAGCACATTATGTTTCCTTAGTTCCACTGTGGTGAAAGGACTTACAGGGACAACAGAGGGAAACCCGACCTTTTCACTGTCACAATGCAAACCTCCCGTCCAGCTGTTTGACAACAACAACAACAACACCGTCGCGTTGTGATGCTTTTGGAGCTTTTGGAGCAGTAATGTGTGTCAGGTTTAGCATGGCTCGTGAAGTGTGTCAAATCTGGCCTAGTTCTTCTGCAGCCGGCAGCCTGTGGATGTCTCCGCTCGAGAGGAGTCCATGACTCAGGGAGGGCGAGAGAGAGAGAGAGAGAGAGAGAGAGAGGCTGAACACACAGTCCGGTCCGTATGATCTGCCGGTGCGAGAATAACACACGATATGCCAAATTAGCAGCTGTTACTCAGGGACAGTTTCAGCAGCGAGGTCAGGAAATGAAGTTTCTGAGGACAGGAGCTGTGTCCCAGGTCCCCTCATGTAGTCCCTCAACACTCGGAGATTGAAGTTCTTCGGGGTTCTCTCATGCGTGCTTTAAAGGGCAAACTGAGAATACAAAACAGAAACAGGACCAAGAGCTGGAAATATGTACGAGCGGTGCGGAGTGCGCGTGGAATGATTTACAGGATTAATCGCTCTCCGTCGTCACTGGAAGGCGTCTGTGTGCACACACTCTGCCCTCGGGTCACAGCCTCCTCCAAGAGAAGAGAGTCTTTCCCTTTAGCCGACGTGAGGCTGCGAGTGAGCGCTCAACGCCGTCACAATCCGTCATAATATGCCTTTAAGTTGTCCGCGCAAGAATAATGAAAATCTTGATTAATCGATCGTGAAATGGATTAAATTCGACACCAAAGTCCCGCATGAAGCTGTTGATTAAATGTAATAAATGTGTTTGGACTTTGCATTGTTTGAACATTTAAATGACTTTCCTGGTGGTTTTGGTAGCAAAGCACCAGAACGTGAGCCCACAGTTGGATTTGATTTGAGACTAAAATAAAATGCTCAGGAACGAGTCCGGAGAATGAACAATGATCCGAAGCAGCAGCGTCAGACGGCCAAACAGCTGGCTGACATGTGGGGATGCAAACCTACCGGAGAATAACCGCGTTGTACCTGCTTATTATCCCGACACACCACAAAGCAACTTCAGCTGCCCTCCCCGACCTCCCCCCAAAGGGCTGAATTCCTACACCAACGTTGGCAGGAGGTGCTGGTAGAATGTGCTTTGGTGGACCTCCACCTCCGTGACAAAAGCCCTCCCCGAGCCGGAGGTATCCTACGGCTGCGTGGGGTCATAAATCAGAGGAGTGGCCCTTTTCATTCCCCTCCTTTCATGCGTGACCTGTGACCTCTCCTTCCAGAGAGAGGAGTGGGGAGGAGGGGGGTGGGGGGGGGGGGGCTGAGCCTCGGGCCTGTGGGAAACCTGAACAGGAGCCGCGGACCCTCCTCAAATAACCACGTGACGTCAGGAAAGACGTCAGCGGAACAACCGGAGCGGCCGAAAGAGGTCGGCTCACCCTGGATGTAGGACGCGGGTCGACTGCGGCTGAAGCGAAAGGAAATATTGATTTCGGTTTCATCCAGATATTTGACAGATTGCCAGTCCGGCTGTTGTGTGACACAGCTCACGTTGATCTTTGCTGGTTCGTGCAGGAATCTTCGCTGGAATTCATAAACCAATAAAGAGACGGCGCTTAATTCCCAGTCGGTGTCCAACCGGATTGACAGCGAGATAAAGAGTTATCCAAAGGCAAAGCTGCCTCCTCGTCCCTGGTGCGATAATCCCAGTCGCTAACAGCCAGCTAATCTCTGACAGGATGCATTACTTACTTCTGGAAAAAAAGGATTTGGTCTTCGGGTATTTGAATAAACTGTCTTTAATCATCGTCATGCACTTTCATTGTGTGAATACTGTCTCCTTTTTCTCACCTTTTCGTTTCATCTGGATAATCCGTCCGTGTTGGAATTTAACAGGCGGAACATGATTATATTTCTCTCTGCTCGTGACACGTGTGCGCGGTGAAAATAAACCCGCCTTCCTGTATCCGAGATAAGTCACCATGACTTCTCTGAATCGCTCTGCAGTTTGAAATAAGCTGCTTGTTGTGTGGGATTGTTAACTATGAAGCATAACCTTGAAAACATCGTGCAAAGTCCAGTCCAGGTTTTCCTACAACAGTAATATCAGATTGTACAACAGTATATCTTATATTTCAACCCAAATCAGGTGAATAACACAAGAGAATTAACTCTGCAGGACTACTCTCCTTCAAAACAGGACGCCTTTAATGATGAATCCTCTTTTTCGTGACGGGTCCGGTGTTCCGCGCGGTTCGGGTCGGAGTCCAGCCGCTGCGACACCAACTGCAAACAAGCCTCCGTGTTTGCTTTCACCCGCTGGGAGTGCAGATAAGCAGGCTTTACGAGAGAGAACCGTTCCAGTGTATTTAGAGAGTATCCGCGGTTGGCGTAGCGCCGTACTTACTCCTTCCCGTTCGGGGGAAGAAGAATGAGAAGAATCTGACCAGGACGCCAACTGGGCCTGAAAGCTGTTTGCGTGCAGACGGTTTTTCACATTAAAGCGTTACAACATACTACGTTAATCGTTGGTTTCTGTACGTTTCCCCTCCAAATGTACCCTCCTTCCTTTTCGGTTCCGCTGTGTTTTCTTTCGGCGTGGAAGCATTTGAGGCCCCGGTGTGGTGAGAAAGCAGCTCAATCTCATCATCTATAGTCTTACTGGTGTGTGGAGCGAGCAAACATCAGGTGGGCAGCTGGCGCCCAAACTCCTGCACGCAGCCTCTTTATTGGTCACCTTATTGCACCCGTCGACTCTCCCGGGTCTCCATGTTTCCACACGGGCTGACGGGGGGGAGACACTCAGACCGCGCAGTCGTCTCCCGGCCACGTGATGCACGCAGGTACGCGTATTTCAATCCAACGGGTGCTTTCACAATCCCAATTGGAGGCGTTTAGGTGGGAAGCTTTCCTTTTTGACACACACTCTGAGCTCAGCTACGGTTCTTGACACGGACTGAGTCCCAGTGGCAGACAGCGAGAGACAGGCCCGGAGAGTAAATCACTGACCGTCTTTATGTCCCGCCAGGTGACCCCTGGCTCAACCCCGCTCCCTTTTGTTACCGCAGTCACGGCTTGTCAAGCTGCTTTTAAAGCTGCTGCATGTGAAGGATCTTAAATGTGCTCTTCGTGGTTACGTCCTTGATACAATAGTAAAACTTTGGGGAGAAAAAGCTTGCGTGTCCCCGGAAAACACGGCTTAACACCTGTGAAAAGATTGTAAAAAGAAGATGAAGATGAGGAGGTGCTGGGATTGGACCGCGGTTGTTGGGCTGAGTTGTCTTCTGAACAGTCAGCTGTTCTCACAGAATCAGGGAAACAAAATGCTGCAGACAGTTTGCACGGGACAGACCGATAATGAAGGGTGACGCGTGAAGCGAGCTCCGTCCTCTGAGGGCTCTGGGTGAGGAGCGTCCGTCTGCCGCCATCATCAAAGCGGACAGGAAGGTTTGACCTCGCCCTAAAGCCCTG